GTTTTTCCTGATCAGTTTCCTTTCGGCCCGGGGTTTCCTTCAACCCCACATCACCCCACCCCACCCCAACCGTCAGCACTGCTGGTGATATATGCTTCCGGCTTCCTGCAAAGCACCGACTGGCTCAACTGAGCGCCCCCCAACTGAGCGCCATTTCAGCTGTTATATAGAACTGAGAGCGCCGATGACTAAAAGCGTTGCAACTGATTGACCGTTTTGCGAAACCCCGAAACCTTCTTTGCTTTTTTTTTACTATACAAAATTGCATTCATTTTATCATGTGCTGGTAATTGTTGAGGCTTCGACGCAGCTGCTGCAATAAGAAATAGGTAATTTTCGTACTTGTGGTGGATGCTGAGGCAAACACAGAAATTAGCCTTACATATTAGTCAAACTTCCCAGGGGAGGGTTGTACTAAGTTTCTCCTTTCATACTTAGTAGGGTAGCAAAATATCATACTATATTATGCAAAAATAAGTACATTTTTGACAGCTTGAGCGTTACCAGATTTTCAAAGAATGTTGCATGGCGCTAAATTTCTTCTTCACATAGTGGGGTCACGCAAAATCATCCTTTTCGAAATTTAATTGTAGCATACAGAGATAAGAGAATTTTTAAAGCTTCAGAATTGAGAGATCTTTGATGAATTCCTTTTTTACAAAATGAAACTATAGAAGAGATGTTGAGTCGGTGGTGCACAATTTTTCTTGGGCGAAGGGTTATGTGGTGCTAAATTTCTCGTTTCACTTCGTCAGCTAGGTGAGAGAAGACAAGGTCATGAATAAATAGAGGGAAATTTTGACGGCATAGGGATTAAAAATCTTGAAAGAACCTCAGACTAAGTCATAAATAAATACGGGAATTTTTGACAGCCTAAGGATAAAAAAATTAAAAGAACCCCAGACTAAGTCATGAATCAAGAAGGTGATTTTTGACAGCCTAAGGATTACAAAATCTTAAAAGAACCCCAGACTAAGTCATAAATGAATAAGGTGATTATTGACAGCCTAAAGATTGGTAAATTTTAAAAGAACTCCAGACTAAGTCATGAATAAAGAAGGTGATTTTTGACAGCCTAAGGATTAGTAAATCTTAAAAGAACCCCAAACTATGTCATGAATAAATAAGTTGATTTTTGACAGCCTAAGGATTAAAAAATCTTAAAATAACCCCAGACTAAGTCATAAAGGAATAAGGTGATTATTGACAGTCAAAGGATTAGTAAATCTTAAAAGAACCCCAGACTAAGTCATGAATAAAAAGTTGATTTTTGACAGCCTAAGGATTACAAAATCTTGAAAGAACCCCAGACTAAGTCATGAATAAGTGAAGGCATTTTGACAGACTAAAGATCAACCAGTCCTAAAATAACCCCACATTTATTTATATTTCTGCAAAGAGAAAACCATGATACAGTTATTGTTACTCCAGAAATGCTCAGTTGGGTGGCGCTGAGTTTCTCCTCCTGGCGCTGAATGGGCTGGCGCTTGGTTGGGCGGACATGCTTCCACTGTCATCTTCCATCAAGCATCTCTTGCTATAGCTGCTCCTGATGCTGCTGGGATTGAAGGGTGTCCGGGGGTAAGAGAAAAAGAGCTGCAACTCTTCGGTTTCTTCCACACACACATGGAAAAAAGAAAACTTTTTTTCGCACTTTTCCAGCAGCCCTCATGCGAGTCATCCATCTTTCCCATGTGTCACGAGCTGTTGGAGGCTCGTTTCGCCACAATATTGCGGCGTCTGAAATGCTTCCGCTGTTTTCATTGAAATTAGGGAACTGCGTGTCTGGGATCCTGTTTTTTTCTACAACTTTTTTTCAGGATCTGAAAGCTTTTTTCCATGCCTCTGCTGTGCCGCTACTGGAATGTGTCAATATTTAACGACATCCGAGCACGTCTCACTCAATTCAGAGCCGAAAGATGCTGAAGCCGAAGAAAGAGAGAATTTAGCTCGAAATGCTAAACAAGAAATTATTTAGTAGTGTAAATCATCTCAAAATGCGAGTTGAAATAAATTGAATAAAGCATCGTGGAAAACAGGCATTTTCAAACTCAAAAATACTGTATGTGCAAAATTCCATCGCGGAATTTGTCGGCATTTTTTGCGGGGTTGTCTTGGAATCAATTTATATTCAGGATGAAAAGTGCTTTTTGAAGTTTAATAACGCTAATGGGTTGTGAACGAGTTCGTGATCCTTTATCATCACCCTGTCACAAGATTATTCTGTCTGAGCTGTGGCAAAATATTACGACCATCTTCATCTAACTTTTAAAATTATTTACGTGATGCGGTTTTAGGTTGTTTTTCCTTGAGAAAAAATGAATCGATTGGGAATGCTTTGAACTTCGGCGGCTTTGAAATCGACTCGATTTTACTTATCAACTTGAAAAAGATTGATACCCATGTGGTTCTCTCTTGAGTAGATTTATGTCGGCAGTGTAGATTCATGATGTACAATAATATTTATTTTAAAGTTCGAAACTTTTGACATTTAATTCTTGTTTTCGAATTGAACTGCTGGCTTTATTTCTTGCTACTCAGTGTTCACAAGGTTCAATCAATGCCCCCACATCCAAATACGTTCCAGCACATCAGAATGAAAAACAAACAAACCGAGAAATAAGCTGTATATGGATATTAAAAGAAAATAAAACACATCCCAAAATGTACAATTGCACAACTGATGTAAATACAGTATACCCAGCAAATAATTTGGGCATTTTGAAATGCATTTTAAACGCGTTTCTAGCCAAAAATGCTATGTGTTTTGTACCTCTCTATGTTACGCCTACTTGGGATTTTATTTAATGCATATCTTATAGTGTATAAGAGTGTATAAGTGTATATATACACTTTCTTCCTTTCCTTGATAACCAAAACAAAATAGCATTAATAAGAATTGATGCATAAGGGAATTACTGAACCCAAATTAAAGCACAAGTTGTTCAGCCTGCTCCCAGATAAGGTCAAGTTGATTTTAAAAAATTGGAGAGAACCTTTGATGAGAAATCATGCAAGGTTAACAGTTTGTCTTGGTCCTCTTCAAATTTTGAAAAGACTCTTATTTCTTTTTAAACAATGACAATTCAAGTAATTTTTGTTGAGAGTAAATTTTCAATTACTTTGTTGACATACTGTACCTGCAATAAAGCAAAGTGTTTACACAGCAGAGAAGCATTTGCTATATTGCTGTACATCCGGTCAGAGGAGAAATTATTTAGCAGTGTGTTCTTTAGCAGGAAGTGGATTCGTAATGTGAGACCAGAGTAAACACAATACATACTCTTGAAAAAATACATCTCCGCCAGTATATTCTGCCTAAAATACTGTATATATATATATATATATATATATATATATATATACTATTTATATGCTGTAGTTTAAATGTGCACAGATCCCAGCATTAATGGACCTCTATTATGCTATTGGAGACAGGATTCAGTGACCCGTCCTTTTTATTAACAGTTGTTTCTGCTTGGACAAGTTATTCCGCCAGCAGTTGGGATGTTTTTCCTGGGGTTCTTCGCCTGCTGTTTGATGTTGTTTGTTTTGTCTGTGAACCCTGTTCCGCCCTGAATGGGGTGTTTGCGTCATGGATACCATTTACTGGGAAAGCAAATTCCCTTAGTCATTGTATTTTTAGCAGTGCTCCGATGGGCCGCACTATACTGCAGTGAGTTTTTCTGGAAGTTTGACAAGATCTACGGCTTTTTTGAAAATGTACCAAAAACCATATTTTTTTCGGGGAGAATTTTGTTTTAAATTTTTGTTGAAACAGCTTATGCCTGGAACGACTCGAATTTTTCTGCAAAAGTACGATTTGAAGGCGTGTGAAATGAAACTGCAGGTACAAAATTTGATTTTTGTTGCATTTTTTTCCAATGATAAAAGAACAAGCGGCGATGAGCCTGGGATAGGATAGAAATCTCATCAAAAATCTCTAAATTGAATGTTTTTATTCATTCACAACACAAATCGAAAATCAGTGGTTTCAACGCATTTCAATCCCACACTTTCATAGAACTATGCCTTAATACGTTATGACAGAATAATGGGATTCTTTACTGATCAAATAATCTATCATATCAAATATATTCTGATGGTCTTTTGCAGTGATAAAAATGTAAATCGAATTTGGGGGGAGGGGGGGGGGGTCTGTGATTGGTTCAGAAAACATTTAAATGACAACGTGGCGCGTGGTGATTTCTAAGAATTTTTGATTTTTGTTTTTTAAAAAAGGATCAATTTCAAATCTTGATCAAATAACAATAAAGATTAGCAATCCCCAAACAGAGTAGGAAATAGAAAATGCCTGTACTGTACAACATTGGAATATGTGGATCTCATTCTACTTAATTGGTTTGGAAGAATCTTGCAATTTTATTCTCAAGTTTCAAGTTGCTTGCCAGAATGGAAATGTATAGGTGGCAGGATTAAAATGAGAAATGGCCATTTAACCCTTGGGTGGCAAAGTTGGACCATTTTTGCAACATTTTGTTGCACCTCAGAGAGAAAAAGAAAAAATGACAACAGGGAGTTGAGGACAAAATCAGGAAAAATCCCAATTTTTTTTTTGGCAGAAAAATGTCCAAGGAAAATAAAAAATGGTATGTTATGGAACAGGCTTTTTTTTATTAATCCCAACTATGCCTCAGCCCACCTGGAAGGGCTTTTCTGACCTTCAGAAAACTTGAAAAGCACCAGCAGACAAAAATAATCTGACTTTGGCCTGCAATGTGAAAGAACCCTCCACTGTCCAAGGGTTAAAACAGGTGTCCTTTTGGAAATTTAGATGAGTTTTCATATCAGTGCTGGGAATCACTTGAAAAAATGTTTTCAACAGAAAAGCGAAGACTTATTTTTCAAAGCCACACTATATATATTATATTGATGTATCCTATGATTTTTTTTTCTTCGAAGAAGATGCATTTTTCGTTGAGATAGGCAACGAAGAAGCAAAAAATAATGATGACTTTGTCGAATTTTCAAATATATTTCAGACTCTTTGTCAGCCATGGCGATGCCGTCTCGGGGAGACGCCAGATCTGGTCCTGTAGCTGTGAACAACAAGGGCCCTGCACCGAAACCTCCGCCGCAGGGCAGCACCACCAACAACCATAATAACTCCGTTGGAAACATCAGCCGCCAACAGCCACCACAAACTAATGATGATAACAAAGCCATGATTGCTGCTCGTCAACAATTTATGGGTGAACAGGTGAGATTTCTTTTTTTATTTCGGAAAGAAAATTCCGCACCGTAATTTATCTTTTGATCCTTCAAAAACTTCCCTTTTAATTCGTGATCGTTTCCGTATATTAGAAATGCCACGTTTTATAACATTATCATGCAGATGGTTAAACTTGGAAACAAATGCCAATAAATTTGCAGCAATTACAGGCACATGTGATTTTTTTTAACGCTTGAACTTATTTTTTATTTATTTTTATTTATTTATATTTATTTTTTTTTTACTAAACTTAATAAGATGTCAGCCCGAAGACATCATTGCTCGCAAATAATGTCTCATTTGCGAGATAATAATAATAATAGTAGTACTGTAATAAAAAGCATCAGAATTGAAGTGTTGATACGATTTCAAAAACCACGGTAAGAGTTTTGAATTGAATTTTTTTTTACTAAACTTAATAAGATGTCAGCCCGTGACATTATTGCTCGCAAATTTACGTGATAATCAGTTCAAACGACGCTATTCCAAGGACAAGGAAGGTTTGCCATATACAGTGAAAATAAATTAAATTCATCCCGATGCAAGTCGTGATTTCTTTTATGCATGCACTTAATTTTTCGCTTGTCAAACGTCTTTACTTTTTTTTGCCAAAGTCTCGAAATAACTTTTATCTTCTCTGGACATGAATAATGACGGAGCGATTATTATTTGAATCATACGACTTCAAGTAACCCCGGAATCAATTTGTGATATTTTTGAGACTGCGAAACAATAGGGAATGTGCTGTGATTCATTTTTCATTTTTTAAATGCATCCATTCTGTGTTCTGTATTGCTTTGAAAGCTTTCTCATTCACAATTTTGCCGTGCATTTCATCCCGAGTCGATTTCATGAAATGGCCTCCGCCGTTGAATCTTTGTTGAGTCTGCCAGGAGTGTCCCGATTGTAACGATTTTCCCCACCGTCGATTTGCAGGCGAAATTGCAGAGTCAGCGGGACAGCATCGAACGACATCAGAACAAGTTGCAAGCGGAAGCGGAAGAACTCTTTCCGACCATGAAAGGTTCCAACGTGGCTGCCGTAGTTGCCGGAACTCCGAAAACGGAACAACACCAACAGCAACAGCAACTTCAGCAGCAGCAGCAGCAGCAACAGAATAATAAGGAAAGGGAACCGGATGAACAACACCTTTCACAACAAAATCAAAACCAGCAACAAAAGCCCAGCAACATTCTTGAGAATCATTTTCCCAAGATGGAGAATGTTCAGAACGCTATGGTGAGATGAATAATGATTCTTCTGGATTGGCTCATTTTTTTTTTTGCAATACAGTAATATATGGGGAATATAGTCGGACATGTTTTTTTTTCTTGGATTATGAAATCAGTGACTAGAAATTTCCAAAGTGCTCGTGCCTCGCAAATTGAAGGCTTTTATTTTACATTTAGTTATGAATTATAACTGGAAAAATTGAGGCATATTTTAAAAAAAATAAGACCTTTTCAGAGCTTGTATCCGGATATTACCGTATTCTCACTCTTTTAAAGGCCCCACCTCAATTTTTGTTTGCCGTTTCAAGGAGAGAAATAGTCTCAATCCAAGAATATTTGGCAATTTGGAAGAGGAATATGTTCAATTTAAGCGTGAATGCATTCAGTCTGAGGTTCCGAATCAGCGGCAAGATTTTTTTTTTTTTTTACTTTCAGACATATTCTACCAATTTTATAGATTCAAAAACTGCGTGAAACTAAAATTCAAGGTGATTTTTCCTTCGGGAGAATTAAAATTATTTAAGAAAATTGCAGCTTTTTCGAATGTATTGTGACATATGAACGAATATCGCAAGAATGAGCAGAACTACAGTATTATTTTTGAGCTCAATTTTTCTAGAAGGAAATTTGGGAATGCAAACATCACGCAATACATATTCGAATGCAAACATACAATTTATCTGTTACAGCATCAGTATTCTTCTGAAATGTGTAAATGTTTCTCAATTGTATTGTCTTCTATTCTCATTTGAAAAAGTTTCCAAATTTTATTCCTCTCCCCTTGGTCTCCGAAAGTCGATTTTCAAAACCGATTTCGAATTCTTCGGGAGTCGGGGGGGGGGGGGGGGGGGGGGTGGGTTTGTTTTTTTTTTTTTTTTAATTTTTTTTTTTTTTTTTTTTTGGGGGGGGGGGGGGGGGGGGGGGGGGGGGGGGGGAGGGTCAGTTCGTTATTTTTTATAACTTAATTTCATTATTTTTTTATAGTATCCCCCTTTTTTTAAACTCTCCATTATTTTTAATATTTGACAAGGGAAGGAGAAAAACCACGCGCTTCCGAGAAAACTGTACGGATGAGTTAATGTTCCAAAAATCAATTTAGCATATTCAATAACTTCAAATAATCCATTGCACGCTTTGCATAATTTAAAAAATTTATGGAATTATATAAGTAAATTGAGCAAATTCCGTGCTCAGCAGACTTTTTTGAATGTCAATCCACTGTCTCAACAATCTACCAATTGCTCCTCAGAATCCTGTAAAGTACAGAATATTTATTCTTCATGAAAATGTTCCATATTCAAATTCGTTGGAAATGCAATTTTTGCAGTTCCCAAAACAGTCAAACGGAGACGTGCCAATTAATATTCTTTATGTAATATTATTCTGGCGCATCCTCCCTTCGTTTTTATGATTGAGCCATTTTTCATCCCAGAGCAGAAAATTTAGATCTGCTGTGCCAAAACTCATACCGGAAGTTAGTATATCCTCCGCTCTTTTTCTCCCTGGAGACCCCAACACATTCGGGTTGCTGTTGTGCCTGAGTACCCGAAAGTTATTTCAAGACTGCAAAGAAAAAAAAAAAAACTAAGCGCCAGTGGGAAGAGATGAAATTTTGTATTCTCTCAAGCTGCTCGAAAAAAAGTGTGCTAAAAATCATCATTTGCTGATTTAGTCTGTTGCATCTCTTCTATGCAATTTCTTTTGCCCCCTCGCGTCGAGGGCATCCCTGGTGAAATTTGGCGTTTTTGTACCACACGGAGCCTGACCTTAATATTTTGCGGCTCTCAAGCGAAGTTGTTCATAACTGTACAATAAATTGGGACAAAAACTGCAGAAAAAATGAGTGATCTGAAGGGAAAAATTTTCATTTTCGCCTGCTATCTTTTTCTTGGATAGAAAGAAACACGTTTCCACCACATTTTTGAGTATAATACCGCAAAAATTTGTGCGTCGCCAAAGCTGAGATACATTTTTTTCCTTGCCATCAAGGGTCAGTTTATGTTTTAATTTATTTTGACAAGAGCATTATATGACTATTCCATTTGAATCAGGTGGCGTGAACGAGTTTATTTAAAGTGTATCCTTACACAATATACCGTGAAGCATTGCATTTTCATGAAATATTTCGAAATCAGAAGAGAAACATTCCGAGAAAATCGTACCCGTAGGAATACACATTAGCTTAAAATTTTCGAAAAATACTAATTAAAAATTTCTAAAAACATGATGAAAAAATGGTCTTCATATATGATCGTTTTTCACTCTATTCCTTTGCATTTTAATATTTGTTTGCTCGAATATTTTGAGTCGGCATTCTCTGATATGGATGACCTTCTATAAATACTTTAAAAAAATCAAAATTTTCAAATTTTTGCTGCTGAAATTGTAATTTGTACGTATCTGAGAAATAGTTGGTAACATTACGCTTCATCATGGACGAATTTAAAGCACTTTATGAAGCACGGATGAATTACTGTAATTATATTTTTCCTCCATGAAACCTCGGAAACTTTACAACCTTAATTTTGTCCAAAGTGTACTTTTTTCAAACTTTTTCTTCGTCGAATCTTAGTTTTCGTGTGCTTGAAAATATGTTTTGAAAATATTTCTTAATTTTGAAAAAGAGATCATTTAATATACATTAATGCCAGATTCCCTTCAAGGTTGAATAAATGCAGACAAATTGTGAAGAACTAGCACTAAAGAGGATCCTTTCTCTTTTTACCACGTTTTTATGAACTCACTTTCTTGTCTGTCTGTTTGTCTGGATCAAATTTTGAAACTCAAATTTCACTCACTTCCCGACTAGCTAGCAAGATGAAACTTTCAGGATAGCCTAGAAACTGATGACAATGCAATCTTTTGTGAAAAAATAAATTTTAAAAATAACCTTAAACGTGGTGGGCATGGAGATTGTTGGGAAGAAGTGAAATACAAATGAAATAGATGCGCACCACGTTTAAGGTTATTTTTTGCTTTTTGAAAACGTGGTTTTTTAGATTAATTTTTTAATCTACTAAATTTTTATTCAATTTCTTCCCCAGAATCTCCAATCGTTTCAGTCGAATATTTTTTAAATTATTTCCAAAATTGAAAGGGGGAGGAAATTATTTTTAAAATTTTTTCCTGGGCGCCTACAATTTAAATTCTTCGTTTTCAGACGATTTCAAAAAAAGATTTAATTCCCTTCAAATACAGGCCCCGCTCAGAGAGACGCCCTCTCAGCTGCATCAGCAACAGCAGCATCAACAAATGAACACACAGCCGAGACATAGGCCACCTGATCAGCAACACCCAATGCACCAACACCTGCAGCACCAGCGCGCCACTGCCGCCATGTCATCGCTGCCTCGCATCAGTGGCGGCGGCGGCATAGGCGCCCCGCAACCACCTGCGCCGGCCCCCACCAGCAGCAGCAACAGCGGCGGCAACCCCAACACTAAAGGATTGGCAAGCCTGGCTCGGTCCGCGTCTCCGTACACAGCCGGCGATTTGCTGGGCAAGAGTCACGAAGAACTCGTGCTGCTGTTGATTCAATTGCGACGAGACGCCGGCGGGTTGGCGCGAGGGATCCAGCAGATTCGGGCGGAGATTGAGGCACAGATGTCGCTGGTGGACGGGCCGCGCGGAGAGGTGGCGCTGCGTCATTGCCAGGAATTGTCCTTCAGGCTCAGGGACATGGAGCGACAGGTCAGAGCTGCTGCTGCTTAATCATAACCCAAGTGGGGAGCTATTCTTTGTGTGACCCCGCAAAGGGTGCACACTGGGGTCACAATTGGTGTAAAAATGGGCTATTCTAGGGTTACAAGCATGCGCCTCTGTAGACAAAATTTTGCTAACATTCCTGGGCTGCATTTGGTGCACAAATGTGACGTAACAGGAGTATCATACAAATGCACCAACTGTAACCTTGGTGTAACTTATTTGTTTACAAATGTGACCGTGAGTAATCCTGGGGTGAACACACAATTGGTGCACATTAGGGATATGCATGTGCAGCAGAAGAACTTTGGTACACTTCAGGCGCACAGCAGGGTCACTGTGTAGAATTACAAACATATCCCCAGTGTGCACCAATTTCCCCACTTGGGGCAGTATATACACTATACAGTGTAGTTTGTCTTTTACATAGCACTCATGTAATGTTGGGGACTTTGGCACATGGTACTAATTAAATACTATCCAGTATAATAATCAACCTGCATCTCAAGAACTGAACTGGTGCTTTGCTCCTATATAGAGCCTCCATTATACCAAAGAACTTGCCACCCAAAATCTGTGGAAACTTGTACAACAATGGGCATAATCTTGATAGATTTTCCCCATTTTATCCCATCAGAAAAAAAACTGAATTAAAGTCTACTTACCAAAAAAATAAGTCCTCTTTTTCCACACTGAAGAAATCTATAAAACATTTGAAAACCTTTACTGAATATCTTATTCTCATTCTTTGCTTCCACTGCTAAATAGCCAACCAATATTTTATCAGAAATTGTGTGAATTATTGTGTGTGTGTATTTATATGAAAGAAGATGCTGAGATGTAGATTCTTTTGGGACATTAATAAATATGAATTTCTTGGAGCCTCTGCAAATGGGCTCAAAGAAGAAGAGCTCCAAGTCAGTCCCAGCCTAATTGGGGTATTTTACTCATAAAGTCCCTTTGATTTGGGGAAAGCCCTAACATGTAAAATTGCCTTAAAACAGTAATTGCAACATTTACTGTTACAGTACTTTAAAAAAATGAAAAAAGTCTGCCAATTACTTTCTCGCAACCCCAATAGATGTTCTGCATTGCACCCCAGAAACTTCTGACCCAGAACTATATGTCTGAAATAATTAATGTACATAAAATGGAACTGATAAATCTCATCGACCCTAATGCTTTTTATTACTGAATTAGATTATTACATTCAGTGGGCAACCATTTCACAATACTCTCGATTTTTTGTACACCGGCATTTCCAGGAAAGCCTTAGAAAACGCGTAATAGAAAAACTGAACTAAAGTTTCTGGCGCACTTTTGCCTATCGATCGTGTCTTTCTTTGGAAGCAGTGCAACGGAAACCTTGTGAGATTGTTTGCTTCGTTTATTTCCCATTTTCTTCGGCGAAAAAGTTCGCGTTTCGTGAAGCTTTAAAAATCGTTGGACGAAAGTAGAATTTTTCTTTAAACCAAACACCTTTTTTTTTCGAAGCGCAATCCCCCTTTTGGTCAAGTATTCCGCCAGTATCCGCAAATACCTTTTAAAACGTAAGAGGTGAACATTTTGAAATCGGTTTTCCGTACACCCAACTGCAAAATTCAGGCAAAATTATGTACTTTTGTCTTTTCTTATTCTCTCCAATGTCGCATTTCCCCAACATGGCCTTCATTTAACGTCAAATTCTCAAGAAGAATATTCCCCAAGTTGTGAGAGTCTAACAGCACTACAGTCTATTCAAAATTCTCGCAAATTGTTTTTTTTAAATTATGATCTATGAATGAATGGTTACTTTCGAAAGGAATGTTTTCTCACTCGAGCCTTGAAAAAATATACGAATAACGCGCCTCATATGATCAATGGCATTTTACGTCCGCGTAAACACGGTAAGTATACAACAGATGAAAGCATTTGTAACAAACAAGAAAAAAAGGAATTTTGATTTTACTCTTGATTAGTCGCAAAACTTATGGACCATCCCTGCTGGTGTATATATATACCCGTGCAAGAGTTTTCTCTCTTTTTTTTTCTTGTGCCTCAGGGGATGCATTTACTTGGAAATATATACTAGCCGACTTTCAGGTCCCCGCCCGAAACAAATGTCGTGGCACGTATATCAGGAGACGGTATATAGGCGTGTGAAAAGTGGAGCATCGCGTGCACGACTGCGGTACTGTGCAGTCCGTTTTTAGTACCTTTTATTTTATTTCTTATTTTTTTGGTCGGGGATAAGGAGAAAAGGGTCCATCAAGCGACTAATAACGCTGCACGACGCGAAATGCGCCACTCTCGTCTTATTCAAGAAGAACCACTTCTTGCTGTGGTTTTATCGCGAGTTTTTTATTTTTCTTTATCCTGGATTTATGTGTATATATAAATGCACAACTATATAACTATTTTTGGCTTACGGGTCTCGGGAATTATTTTCGTTATTTGCGTCGAGACGGGTTCGCTTTTTTCTTTTCTTGTATTGTTGTTGCTTCTTTTGCTGGTGGGCTTGACTTCACGTATACGTATATACCACGAGGATGAAGACATAAGAAAGAAAAACGTCGCGGTAAGAGAAATATTTTATTGCCACGAATCGGAATTTTATCATCATGGACTATAATACGATAGTTATTTGCCTGGATTATCTTCCGATGAATGGAATATTCCTTGCCGATATCAAATTTTTTTTTTTCTTTTACGTATTGAATTGTGCGTGGTTCGTTTCCAAAATTCTTCATTTCTATGCTAAAAAAACTACTTGAAAGTTGAGTGTTGCTTAAATCGAATGTTCAATGGGACATTTACAGATAATGCTTTCACCCAGCCCAAATCCACTCAATGACATTTAATCACTTCAGAGCAGGAAACAGAGCACAAATTGATAACAAAAATAAAATAAAATACAATCCATGAAATACAACTGGACATCTGACATGTATGTAGGAACAGAAACTTTCCTTTCTGCTGAGAATAATATTTCATTATTTCAATGGTGGAATCAACAGCACTCCAAAACTTTATTATACTTTAGAATCACTCGATTATTATCATTTAGAATTATTTTTGCTGAATCAAGAGAGCTAAAAATGAAAATATGTATCTTTACTTAAGAGCCAGCATTCTAAAATACTGTACCAAGAAAAACTCTTAAATTCGAGTGACATCCGGATAACCTTGATTTTCTTTTTTTGAAAATAAAGTACGGTACTTTTTCAGTTGTTCGGGACGTCTGATATACTGGCTTAATCCCATTTTTCACGTTTATTATTCCACCCCTCAGTATTTCACGTGAAAGTAAGACAGCTCAGATTATAGGATCTTCTTTGCGGAAGGTCAAAATATTTGGGTTTTTTTCCTTTTTCTATATTTTCCGTCCATCTCATTTTGTTGCTGTAAATGATTCGAAACAAATGAAAAAGCAGTGGAAACCGTAATTCCCGTTTGGTCAACATTCATAATTTATTATTATTTTTTTATTTCGAACCGCGATTCGAGATTTTTTCTTGTTCGTTCGTCTTTCGACTGTCGAATCTACATGTCAAATTCTTGTTACGTTTGGCGAAAAAATAAACTATTTGTACGTGTTTCAGAAGAAGTCCTTGAGTCTAAAAAAAATTGATGCCTTTAATGAAATAACATTTAGAAGTTCAATGCAGCGAGTTTATTTAATGAAAATCATTCTTCTATATGCTGAAAATTTATTTTGGCATGAAAAAATGTTCGATGCTTATCAAATAACCAGATGAAAATTCTTGAAAGATTCCTCACACGAGCTTCTTGGCACGTGTACAGAGAATTCTTTTCGCAATATTTGCATGAAATAGCACATAAAAGCGCTTTGCACTGAGCTTATTGTCCCATGAAACTTGATACTAGCACAAATATGCCTTGAGGCATGAAATCGGAAACCGTTGGATTCACGTGGTTGAATATACGCATTGTCTTTGTGCCAGTTGAAACATCCGTTCCTTTCTGCTGAGACGAATGGAAGGAAAATGAAGGTGACACAATGAAGACAAAAGGAAGAATGAACTCGTGATTGCTCTTTGCTTTCTACTGCTGATGATACAAGTAACTCGAATCGGACAGGTTCAGGCTTTTGCGCAGCTAAAATCTTCCCATCAAAGACACAGGGAATTAATGGTTCATTTTCATAAATAATGGCTTCATTATTGCTGAAACATTGGGATTTTTCCTGGTCTCATCTGTTTATAATTTGATTCTCTGGAAAGTAACACAACAACGAAAGATTTGAAGTTGTCCTTGAAAAAAAATTACGACCCAGTCGCGAGGAAACTTTTCATTTCTATTATTCCAACTGAAGAAACCGTTTTCAATCACGATTTATTTTATATTAAGCATTCCTAATTCATATGATGAATTTGCGATAATGTCAAGTTTTAAGTGCATATCCTGGAAACCTTTCATCCTGTTGCAAAATCCAAAATTATTCTTTATATAGAAATTATGTTGATGCATCAAAAGATCCGTGCTGACGTGTTCAATCGAAACTTCAACAGCAGCGTATTAAATCACGAAATGCTGTACCAACTCCAAGCAACATTGAAAATTTTAAATATTTATTTTTTCCCAAGCATTAAATGAAAATTTAATGCATGAAATTATATTTTCATTGAATGAATTTCTTAACATTCATTAAATGAAAATGTAATGCATTACATGTACTGCTTTAATTAAATGTTAAGCATTATCTGTAAATGTCCCATTGAACATTCGATTTAAGCAACACTCAACTTTCAAGTAGTTTTTTTAGCATAGAAATGAAGAATTTTGGAAACGAACCACGCACAATTCAATACGTAAAATAAAGTGTTCTGTTCATTCATTAATTCATTCAATAATGAAATATTCATACATTATCTATGCTTTTGTGTGACAGTAAAAAGCATGGGATAATTTATTGAAAGAAATATAAGTATTTCTTTCCCAAATATTTTTGCTTCACAAAATCAAAGGTTTTCCGAAGCACACCAACTTCCAATTCACAGCAAGGATTTCCAGTTCTGAGATGGGTATTACAAAGATGTATTCATTACAGTATTATAATTGCAGACAGGAATGGTGATATCCATCAGTAGATTCTTGTAGCATGAAGGGATTTGGAAAATGTCACTATAAAACAAAAATTGGCTAAAAATTGTTGTGCTCACAAAGCTGGGTTTGTATGGAGAAAAAGTAATAAAATTTTTATTTCACTTTAGCGAGATTCTACTCCAAGAAGAAAAAGAAAACCGTGTGTTCAATACAGTCAACTCATTGCGCTGGCCTGTATAGTTGAATAACGTTCAGTTGTCTCATATTGCGCTCACTTGTACCACTCACTTAACACCTCTCACCTGTTGGAAATGGAATTGGTTTGTGGATATTTTTGACTTGGATCTTTGTTGAGAGAGTTTGAAATGAAATTTTGAACAACAATCAGCTGGGCTGCAGCCGGGGTGCTTGACACCCTAGTGTAAGGTTGATATATTTTCAAGTTATTCGATGAACTGCTGTTTTTGCAAGCAGTCTTTTGCGCAAGACAAACACAGAAGCAACTAATGATTCAATACAAAATCAATTTGCTATTTAAACTATTCCCTTTCTATGACATTTTTGTCCCTGAACATCTTATCCTTCTAAAGGGATTTCCCCAAGAATTCAGAGTCTGTGGGAACTCAAGGTTGTACTTGGTCCCATTGAATCCCCGACTTCCCCAAAGTTCTGCTGGTTTCCTGGCACCACTCTAATCCTGTTTCAAATCTATTGCCTATTTTTAATTTTCAACATCGCCTTATCTCCCCCTCCCCCCAAACAGTTTGAGTTGCAGAAACCGGTGCTGCACCTGGTGAGCAACATGGTGAAGCTGGGGTCTTTATACGGCCCTCAAGACCCCAACTTGCAACAGCAACAGCATCAACAGCAACAGCAGTTTTTAAGCAGGAAGGAAGTGCAGCAGAAACGGTTGGACACGGACCAGCAGCAGCGGCGAACAGCAGCAGCAGGACCAACTGCGCAGTCCAATCAGATGTTCGCCTATCAGGGTGATCAGGGCCCTTGGGACCCAAACACGCATTCGCCAGACCACAAAGAGCTTCAAGTGAGTTTTTTTTTTTTGCAGGGTCGAAATAATGGGGGTTCTTCATCATGAGTGCTGGTCCTCTTGGACTTTGGAGTCAACTTTTTTCATTTATTTATTTTCCTTTTTTCAAGCCAAAGGTTTTTTTATTTTTCCTTTTAAATCTTCAATGAGCCTGCAAGGAAAGCGCATTTTTTGCAATTTTTTCCCCGCCAAGTTCGAATCAGTTCGTCGTCTTAAAAAAAAAAAATTATTTTTCTTTTTACTCGCTAAATTTGCTACGCTTGCTTATCTGAGTGTTCTTTTCCTGTCGGATAAACTAAACTTTCCTGTTCACAAAAATAAAATTTTGAGTAGTAAGACATGCAAAATAATTTTTGCACGTATTTTTGAACAGAATGGCGGATTGGTAGGGGAGCAATCCAATGTCAGCAAAGTTAGTATTTATACGTTTCCTAAATACAAATACAAAAGGATACAAAAATACAAATTTCCTATGCGCGTATTCCTTTATTCATCTAGAAGAAAAATCGAGAAAAGAGCAGTTAATTTTGTTGAATGCCAGTTGAAAAAATAAGATGCCTTCGAATCATTTTTAGAGTCGCTGTGAAAATATTTTTTTAAGGAAGGGAAATGTTCTCAGATATCCTACCGGGCATTTCTGTATTTTTCAACAGGACAGACAAGAAAAAGAAAAGTATTCCTGTGTCCCAGCAAATTCAGTACTGTACTTTTAATGCGATTACGCAAGTCCTTGGAATAAGGTTATTAAAATACAAATTTTATAAATGCATTCATTTATTCACCTCATAGAAAAATCGAGAAAAAATGCAGTTAATTTTGTTGAATACCAGTAAAAAAAAAAGATGCCGTCGTTATTTCAAGAGTCGCTATAAAAAACATTTTCCAGGAGGAAAATGTTCTCAGATATTCTACAAAGCATTTTTCTTTAATTTTGAGCATATGTTTTTGAACAGGATATAGCGAAGAAATAGAGAAGCATTCCGAAGTCAGCAACTTTAATTATTTTTTGCCATTCCTTGGCATATTGATGCTAAAGTTTGCATTTCCTGAATGCATTCAGTTTTCTTACCTAGAAGAAAAATTGATAAAATTCCATATAATTTTTTGTGTATGTCATTAAAAAAAAGATGCCTTCTTCAATAAAGAAGTTGCTGTGTAAAAATATTTCTCAAGGCAGTAAATAGTCTCGAATATCCTAGAGAGCAGAATAGAAACATTTTCGGGGGTATTCAGAACATGTGAAGTGAGCTGAATGGCTTCCGTGAGAAACCTTAGAATCTCTTGAAAGAAAAACACATTCGTGTGACCGTCAGCTAGAAAGGAAGGTACAGTATATATATATATATATATATATCTATATATAAGGGCCTGGAAACTCGACTCTTCCATTAGCACTTATGGATAAGTTTCTTTGGATTCTGAACTTATTTTTTTCTCGTTCCGATGTGTCGAGTTCCTCTTTCTTGTACCCCCTGAAAGTGGACAGGTTGACGAGGGGAAATTTCAACGAATTCCAGGCTTCAACGAATCAGTTCAGTGTCAGAGGGAACCGACTGTTAGACAAGAGAACAAAGACATTTATTTCTTCCTAGTAACAAAAAAAATACTGTTCACTTGGGGTCGGTTTTTAAATCTTTATATCGGGCTGTGACAGTTGACAGCGACATGTCGAATTTCCCATACCATTTTTGATGCCACGTGTAAATGGGTTTCATGCGATCTCAGTGGGGAAAATGGACCATCTTCGAACTTTTCCGGAAGCTTTCATGATTTATTTGAGTAGATTTTTTCCCCGGGAATTCCACATCGATAAAGAAATATTAAAATTCGTTGTGAGGACCTCTTTTTATTTTTTCCATAAAAACCTGCTCAATTTAAAATGCCAGATGGTTTGGCTATGACCAAAGGAAAAACTTGAGGTATGACTTTTGAAGGCAATCGCTGAAAAAAGGATGAAGCAGGGGATTATTTTGTCCCTTATTTATAAGTGGCAAAATCGCAGAAATTATCCAGTTTTTAAAATCTCCTCAGAAGTGCAAGTATTTATGAATAATTTAAAAGAATAATATTCTTTCCTCACCGTTGGATAAGGTTTCATATTCTGTATAAAATTTTCGCCGTTTTTTTGTGTTTCCTCGAGTGAATTTTCTTTGAATTTTAATTACTATCTGCCGAATATTCCTGAAAAAATGCAATAAGTAACTCTCTTAATTTTTTTTAAAGAGAGTGCTGAAACCATTGAAGTCTGCTGCACCATTTTTTTAAATTAGAGAAATAAAAATGCATTATCGGGGGCTTCTAAAGATCCTCTGCCCTCAAAAACAAGTAACTTATCTTTTATAATATTCGGAACCTAGCATATTTGTATACTTAATTTATTTTTTCTTCCATTGACAAAAATCTCACCAGTCACTCCCATATTTTAGCAGTTAGTCTTGAGTACCTTGAAGTGCATGGGTTTAGATTTTTAAAAATTTAAAGTCATCATAATATAGGTAAATAAAATGTGACCAGTGTTTCTAAAGATCCTCTGTCCTCAAAACCGGAGGAATAATCGAAACTCATCTTTTAGAATATTGGGAACCGAGCATAATTGCACAGTATTCTTTTTCGTACAACTGATAAAAACCCCATCAATCACTCCCATTGTCTTGGATCCCTTTGAAGTGCCTAAAAATTTGTTATCTGAAAAAATAAAAATAAAAAAATATGGCCAGGTGTTTCTAAAGATCTCCTGCCCTCAACCCCAGACGGGGATCCCCATCCTCGTCTTCCCGAATATTGTGAAAAATGGCACATATATATTCTTCAATGGGGGGTGTTCTTCCTTTTTAAGAAATTCCTCCACCCTCGCCACTCTAACTGGACCAGGGGTAGTTTCAAACTGCTTTTCCTTCCGTTTTGGGAGGAGAAAAAAAAAACGTTCTTGGTGTGCTGGGCGTCGATATATAGGGATTCGTGGGAAATACGCAAGACGGGGACGGGCAGGCAAAAAAAAAAAAAGCTGCCCAGTGAACCATCAGTGTGTCCCCTTTTTCCTGCTACCGGAGTGAGAAAATCGATTGGACTTGGGCCAAGGCATTTGACGTCGTATGCAACACCTCAGGGAAAACGAGAATCGCGAAGAAGAAGAAGAAGAAATAGTAAAAGAGATGGGGACGGATGAACAAACGTCTGCCAAAAATAGGCTTCCAGTTTTCTGATGGGGGGTGGGGATGGCAGGGATGACTTCGATCCCCCGCTTTCAACCCCTTCTTCTTCCTCTTCTTACTTTTGGACAACTATATAAATATAGATATATATATATATACCCCCACGCGCGTATTTTTTCTGCCTGATCGGGTAAAGAAATCAAAACCTTTCTATATATATATTTATTCCTGTCCTTGCAATTTTGGCACATAGAGGGAGGAAAACGGCGATCGTGTATATTCGAGTTCTCCACCCACTATTTTTAGAACATCCTTTCGCGTGATCATTTATTTCGCGTATTCTTGGAGCAATTTTCTCGATTCCTTTCCTAATGAGTCGATGTAATTGCAGTACTACAAAAAGAGAAATCTTTAACGGAATTGCGAAACAAAAATTTTGAAAACAGAACGAAAAAAGTCAGCTTTTATTCCTTGCAACCATTTATTTTTCCGTCTCTATTGAGGTCTGATGTCAGAATCATGGTTTTTGTGTAAGTTTCGGGAGTGCCTAACATACGGTATTAAACCATTGACTTATGAGCAGTGTGTCCCGAAATTCAAAATTTTTTTTTTCGAATCAGTGTAAGGGTCAAATATCGTAATCTACAGAATATTTGACATTTTTAAAGTTTCGGTGCGCGTCGTACTTGATTCTGATGGAAAATTCTGGACCAACTTTGCCTACCATATTTAGAATAGAAAAATCAGAATTAATTGAATTATGTTTCAATGCAAGTTGAAATTCGATTTACGGTGTTATTGTATTGGAGCTTTTTCATTCCTAAAAATGTGGTGAATGGTTATTTGGGGAAATATTTTTAAACTGAAGTGTAAGCTGACAAATTTGGAGGCCATGTCTTACTTAAGAAATTATCAAACTCAATAAGTTTGATAATTTTCAAAAGTGTCTAAGTGGTGTAACTCCTACAGCATAAATACATTAGTTTGTGCATCACAAGATCACCTTCTCTTCTTATGTCCACCATTTCATACTGATAGAAACAAGCTTAAGAAAGATTTACAAGTATTGGAATTCAATGAAGAATTCAATCTTTCTGAAATCTTAAAGGATCAAGATAAACTGTTGGCCTTAAATGATTTCTCATCAAAGATTCTCTCTAATTTGTTCATTCAACTAAACCTCATACAGAAACAAGCTGAAGACCTTGTGCTTTAAATTAATTTTTACATATACAGTATTTTGTTTCCAATGTCAGGGAATGAATGGGTGTATGCATACATGTCAGATGTCCAGTTGTATTTCATGGATTGTATTATCTTTTATTTTTGTTATCAATTTGTGCTCTGTTTCCTGCTCTGAAGTGATTAAATGTCATTGAGTGGATTTGGGCTGAGTGGGAAGGGGGTTTGGTCATGGAAATCTTGATTGAACCTTGTGAACGCTGAAAAGCAGCAAAATAAAGTATTCTGTTCATTCATTCATTCAATCAATAAGTGAATAAAATGTATTGTTTTTAAAATTTCAAACATTTTTTAGAGTTTGTGTGGAAACCCCAAACATTTCGTGAACGGTTTTAATATAGTAACGTAATGGGAACAGATGCGATGCCGATAATGCGAGAAAATCGTCAATAAACACGTTTCCCGAGAATTCGTGTCATTCTCGGAACCCAAATCAAAGTTCCACAGCTTGACCAAATCGGAGCATTGATTTGATTGATCGAGTGAGACATGCAAGTACTTCAGAGGCTTGATGCATATATACTTTTCCCCGAAAGGCACCACTCCCACTACATCGCGAGATTAAAGCAAGTTTCCGCGAAAGGAAGGGGTAAATTTCATTTGATCCCTTATATACCCAAACCGATCCCAACCCCGAGTGGGTTGATCCGTTTTGATAACTTTCCGACAGCTTGAGTGACATTCTCTCGTGAACTTTGGATTCCCCTTTTTTGCGTATGTAAGGGAGTAAAAATAGGGGGCATCCTTGCAATATATATATATATGCGAGTCTCGGGGGTGGTTCAGCAGTGCAGCAGAGATTATACTTCCCTCCGCCCCCGCGATTTACCCCCCGTTGGAATCTTAATGCGGAGAAAAGTTTTCTTTCGTTCCGCGTGCTGATATTCATGGGCGAGATGGCGTGACGTCATGATGTGGGAACACCGGAATGCCTTTTGGAATACTGTACACTGCTTCTTCTTTAGTTCATGATTTTTTAAACTGCTTTGAAGAGAAGCATTATAAATTCATGACGGAGCGCGCGAATTTTAAGAAAGCTCATTATTGGAGGCTGCGGATTATTTTGGCATGAACATGGGGAAAACTACAGGCTTTGAAGACTTCAACAGCACCTGATTATTACAGATTTTTAAGCTGCATTAAAAATATTCCAGATGCAAGAGACATTTGAGTGCTGAGGCAGTTACCCAGCCTACAAGGTAATTTAATTCTCGAAGTGTAAAACTACATTATGACTGCAAAAATAAGGGAAGCTGGAGCAACCTCACTCCTGGATGTTAAAATAGGACTTCATTATTGTCTCTGATCACAGGTTTCATAAAGACAACAATCACACACACAATCAGCAAACACAATCTTGCATTGTGCAGTGACAACTTGATTTCAAAAAAAAAATAAAACCAGCAAAGAAAACATGCTTTGCCTATGGCGCAATTTCTGATGCGCAAACTTCCAAAGCAAATAACTCCGCGAATTTTACATTTAGAACATCCTGCAACATTTTAAATTGAAGCTTAAGATTTTTTCAAACTTTCCTTTAATCATATAAAAATTGACCTGGTTGACAGATCTTGAGATATTCTCACATTTCTAAACCTATCTTTTCTTCAGTGATAAGAATCTGGTGATAAGAATCTTTATGCCAGATTCTTATCTCACTGATGCACAAGCTTTGGATGCAAACAGTGACTTTAAAAGCCATGTTCCTAATGTGTGAATGAATTTATTTCTGCAACACCTGATATTTGCGGATGACTCAGCACTTGGATCAATTTTTTTCCAAATTCCATCTTGTGGGTAAAATTTTTGAAATGAATGCGGTACTAACTTCTTGTGATGCTTTGTTTATAATTATCCTGTTTTGGGTTCACACAATGAATATTGATAGCATTCACACAAAAAAACATACATGAGAGATCAAGACACTAAATTGTAAAAACTTATAAAAAGAAATGTCTTCCTTGAATGAATGAAGGGCGCTAGTGAGCATAAGCATCAGAAGAATGGTTAATTTTGTGTTGGATTGAAATAATTCATAGTTTAGCCGATATATAATATAATTCAAATTATTTCAGGTCAAATACAGAATCGTAGGTTTGGTTAACTTTTTTTATATGCGCGAATTTCAGATCTACTCTTACTGCATTTCGAGACTCGATATTCAGTTGTTTATAATCCGTCGCTCGTTTTTGTCGAAAATGTTTCATGCCATTGCATGTGCCGTGAATCTTGAATAATGATGAAATTTGTAAATGAAAAATCGGGCATCAACGAATCGTTTTTTGTTGTTGCTCTGAAAATCCCCATCTGTTTATTTTTAGCACTGCGTGTGTTCCGACCTTTCAAACGAAGATAAAACATCGCATATTGAAAATTAAATTCCTGAATAAACCAACGTCCTTCCCGAGCGAAAGAACTGCGGTATTTTCAATTTTTCATGTCTGTCAGTGCAAGCGAGAAGGAAAATGTACCATGTTTCGTATAATGGGAAACTTGCGAAACATCCGCGAATGAAAAAGTATTTTTTGTTGGTATTATGAAACAAAAATTGTTTTTGATTCCGCAAAGTGCCCCTGGCATCTATTTTTTTTTTTGCAGGTTCCGTTTTACAGTAGTGTGACAGACTGTTTGTATGATGTGTCAAAAACACGTTCCTTATCAGCCAGAATAATACAGCGCACATGTACATTTATGCACAGCGAGGCATCCATTTTATTTATTCATTTACTCATTGTTTTCACCGTGGGATCGAATCAATTTACGAGACAGGAAGTTGATAAGGGTCTGATGCAAGCCAAAGATAAAATAATATTTTTCTGTTCATACACTCTGAAAAGGACGACTTGATGTAAGTCCGAGATGTGATATAAAAATACTGTAAACTTACATATAATGTACTGTATAAGCATTCAAAGCTGGAATTATTGAATTAAATATTTAAATTCTCTTGAACTGGGTTCGATCGACAAATTTGGACTCATTTTTCCGAATGTAGAAATTTAAAAACAGTTCCATTTTTAAAATCTAATTTTTTTTGCTGGAGAAAAAGCAATAATCAACAATTTTGTCAATGAGATACTGCTACAAAAAAACTTTTGAAATTTCTCATTTCGTGCAACATAACAGATTGAAAATTTAAAATTGCAGCTCGTTCCAAAGCTCATAGTGTTTGCGGACTAATGGAACACTTCAGCTGAGAATCTTATAACCGGAGTTTCTAAGTGCACCATTCCTTGTTATTACTACGAGCAGGATTTTATCATCAGACCTGAGATCTAAAATACCCTTTTTTCCTGTCTTCCATGTTTTTCTCCGTCTCTTGAGTTGATGATCCTCCGGTAAAGAATTGAAGGGCATTTTCGAAAGTCTTGGGATTTCCTCATCAGGTCCAAAGCCGTTTTCATAAACTGAGTCCTTGTGCACACTTTTTTTTACAAATTTTGAAAAGTTGATTCTATCTTAATGGGCAGCTTTAATAATTGAATCATTGAATATTCTGGTTGGATTTATTGGTATGTGACTGATCCTGTTGCTTGTGCCAAAAATGTGGATATAAAATCATGTTCAAAGCGCAGGTAATTTCAGAAGTGTTGCAGGAATTTAATTTTGTCGAGTCAACAACATTTTTAGAAATTATTTGGATGCTCAGCGTAACGTTCAATGCAACGAATTTTTTTTTTTCCTACGGCGATTCGCTGTAAAAGATAATTTCTTCACGTGTCTGGCACAAAAATCAAATTTTAAAACGTCTTGAACTTTTACTAGGGTCTTACTACTTGTGCTGGCTCCAAAAAATTACGAAGACTTTATGTATTTATTGATCTAATGTTGAATAATTTTTATTCATATGCTACAATTCATGATTTGTCTAATACAGAACCGGCAATACAATAAATGTATTTATTCATTGAACCCATATGAAGTGATGAATTTATTGACCTGGTGAATTTATGCGATTGACTACGATGTTTTGTCAAAAATTAGCATTTAGAAATTAGTTAAAATTATTATCTTGAAAAATCCCTCTGATCAAAGCTCAATTAATTCTCTTTTGAGTGCTGATTTCGAAGTCAATGGGTTCAGCCTGTGCTTATATTCGGCGAGAATGAACATTTTCAAATTGTCTAGAAATTCAGTGAGAAATCGTGTTTTGATCTCTCAACATCTGCTAAATTTTAACGGAATCAAATTTTAGAGTCCAAGAGCATTCGAGAAGCTCCTCTTAAATTCAGCATGCTTTTCAAAAGGGTTTGATTTTTTTTCGGCGTGGAAATTCGCTGTTACAGACCAGCATCTCCGTTCTCCGAGTGGCTTTTCCCCGGAAGAAAAGTCTTGCAATTTTTACTGATTTTTTATATTTGTGTCTCAAAGAGCTTTTGGAGGGGGTTTGCTTTTTTTCATCGCCGTTGAAATTCAATGGTAAGCGAGTATACGGCCGAAATTAGAGTCTCTGGCTCATCGGAAATCAAGTTTTCGAAGTCTTGCCATTTTCATTGTTTTTTTTTATTCATATTTGTGACTGAGAGAACTTTTGAAGAGCCCCGGCTGATTCCAGCAGTGACGTTATTCGCCACGGGTTTCGAGATGCCCCGCCGGAAGAAGAGGGGGGAAACGAGTTTCATTAACCTGACGAGGTTGCCGGTTCTTCTTGGTCTCCATTTTTAATCAGATGCTGCTGGAAGGTGCTTTGGAGAGTGTGCGACAGAAGCTGCAAGACGTCGGGGCATTGGGTCCTGGTGAGCTGGAGAAGCTGCGGAGTCATCAGCAGCAATTGGAGAGGGAACTAGCGCAAGTCCGCGCGCACATGATAGCCAGTGCTCTGGTGAGATTGCTGTTCTTATTATTGAGAGCCATTCTGATTGAACCTGCTGCTGCGACTGTATATATGATGTTGCCATGAAAAAAAAAAAAGTGGAATCCTGTTACACTGTAAGAATCCGGTTATGTCATGGGTCCATATTGGATCCCAGACAAAGGAATTGAATTGTGCTGTCATCAGAATGCAAGTTTTGAATAAGAACTCAAACTCTTTTCAGAAGAGTTCATTCTCATTGCCCAGATTGTCATTTGGCCGTTGGTAGCATGCGTGGAATGGCAGATTCAATAATTGTAAGATTGGTTGGTTAGCTCAGAAGAATGAATCCGGTAATTTAAGTTAAAAGGCCATTCAGCACAAGGTTCTCACTTCTTCTATCAAAGAGGAATGAAGGCTTTCATACCCCAGGTGCTCAGACTGGGTCAGGAAGAAATCAGGGGATTTCTTCTTGGCTCAGCATTGGCCAATTTTGGAAAAATTGAGGAAGTGATGACCACTTCTTGGCCTGTGGTGAGGTTCAGTGAGTCTTGCAAAAACAGGATTTTGGCAAGGCTCAAAGGCTTCAAGTTGCAACACGTTTTCTCAGCGGGTTGCTGCCAAATGCGGCAGCTGCGCTGCTTTGGGATGTAACACATTAGAACAAATCCCAGCATATGTAATTTATCTTTACTTAAAAAAAGACACACTTTCTACAGTGACATCAGAAAAACCCAAGAAATCACACTATATGCTGCTGTTCTTGAAAGCCATTCTGATCAAAGCTGCAGGTACTATGTTGTTGCCATGAAGAAAATCATTAATGAAATCCTGTTACAGCAAATCTCATTATAAAGAAACCCAGCAGGAATAATTGAGTTATTATTATTTTGTCAAAGGTTGCAACAGAAAACCCAGGGAAATCACGCCATGCCACTGTTTTTGAAAGCCACTCTGATTGAAACTGCTGACTATGTTGTTGACAAACAGAAAATTATAAAAGCCCTGTTGTAAAGAATCTCATTACAACGAATCCCAGCATAAATGATAAAAATTATCATTTTTTACCTATTCAAAGGTTAGGACAGAAAAACCTTAGAAATCATACCATGCTTCTCTTATTGACAGCTATTCTGGCATTGTTGCAATGAGGTACTTCAGCAATAGAATCCTGCAACAAAGAATCCCATTATAATATCCCAGCATAAATGATTGAGTGGTTTTTGAACACTTTCTGTTGGTCGCAGCAGAAAATCCGCAGAAATCAGAGTACCAAATTTTGTTTGCCAAAAACTTTTTTGATAAAAAATAATTCAAGATTATTGCCAAAAAATGTACTGTATCTTGCTGATTTTTGCAGTGCTTCTCATACATTTATCGACATTTCATTAACGTTCTTCTAACTTTTCTTCCTGCCTCTGCATAAATCAGTGCTGAATTTCAGCATAGCCAGTGTAATTTAGTGAGACTGCTTATTGTTGTGAAAACCGCTCTTTCTTTTAAGTTGATGCACTTGTTCCAATCAAGATACTGATGGTTGAGTTTCGGAATAAATAATCGCATCAAAGCGAAGTAGGCAGTATAATATAAATTTTAAAGGTCCCAAAGGAAACAGGATATACTTAATTGCATGAACCGTTTATGATGATTTGCAGGATTCATTGCAACACATTTATTCTTGATTTTTCTTCTGTTTATCGTCCAGTTATCAGGCTTCGTTGCATTTATCTCCTATTTTTGTAAGACAGTTTTTTTTCCATGATTCCTGAACGTTTTTTGCAGCACGATTTCAACTATAAAATAAAAATCGGCTCAGAAGGATTAGAGTGGAGAGTTTCACAGGTTCTTTTACCGCATTGATGATGATGATGTCTTGATGGGTGTAGACAGGAACATTTTATGATAATTGTTTGCATTTAGTACTATTCAACAGCTCTCAAGTGGAAAGCCCATTAATCAAAGCTCACATTAACCAAGTCATGAAAAGTTGTAAGGAGTGGCTCATTGGTTTAAGATTGCTTAAAAGCTCCTCACGTATAATTACAATCAAACTACGTATAATTACAATCAAACTACGTATAATTACAATCAAACTACTGTATTTGGAAAGGGTAATTTGTTCCAGATACCGATGGAAATTGCGTATTAACCCAAATAAGTAAAGTACTAAAAATGAAAAAAAAAATTGATAAGAATACATGAGTAGACTAGTTTAATTTCCGTGAAATTTCGTGCGGAAAAATTGCGTTTTAGTCGAAAGCCAAGTAAATTTTATATTCGAGGCACCATAAAATATAGGCGCGCACTATGTTAAAGTAAATCCTACATTTATCTTGTCTGTTTCACAATCTCTTTGATACTTCGACCCCCTGTTTTATCACAAATAAAACGAAAGGATAAAGTACTGTAATACATTTTCCTTTGAGGAAAGAAACAAAGAAAGGAAAGGTTCATCTGTTCCAGATACCGATGGAAATTGCTTATTAATTCGTATAAGTAAGGTACTAAATCGAACAAATTTAATACGAACGCATGCGAGGATGGACTCGTTTGATTTCTGAGATATTTTTTGCGAATAAATTGCGTTTTAGTTAAAAGCCACGTACATTTAATGTTTGAGGCCCAATCGAAAAGATGCGCGTCTTATATTCGAGTAACTTCTCCGTTTTTCTTGTCTGTTTAATATTTCGACCGGTGTTTCATCCGAATTAAAACAAAACAAGAAAGTACTGTAATACATTGGTCTTTCCGGAAAGAAAACAAAGGAAAAATAATAATAATCTCCGTATAATGTACAGCGAATGACTCAACAACAACAAAAACAACCACAGTAGCAAACAGCCGCAGCTCGGTCGTCGTAATTGCTGTCAAAAGGTTGCTTCTCTCATAGTGTTATTCCTATATTTCTCATAGAATACTGTACAGTAGTATTCATTTTTTTTAGATTTTGTTTTCAATTTCATTTTCCATCTCCGCTTCCTTTTCGCAGCAACTGGAGGATGCCGAGCAGGAGAACCTGCGCCTGGAGCACGAGCTAATTGCTCTTAGGCAGAAAGTGCTGATGGCTCTCAAGCATGCCACGAGTCTCCAGGCGCACGGCTATGCCAACAGGGAGCTGGAAGCGGAACTCGTCAAAGTCCAAGTGAGTTTTCCGGTGCTTCCGCCTTTGATTAGAACGGTGTTGCACGCGTTTCGTGACTTATACTGATGGTGTCAAAAAGTTAGAATTTGGTATACAGTTGAAACCTCTGTAATTAAGTCGAATTTCTAAGGAACCAGGAAAAAAAAAACTTGACTTGGGGGAGGTTTTAACTCATGGTGAATGAGGATATTCTGGGCCTAAACTTGCTCCTTAATATATGAGTTAACACATTGCTGAAACTTGGAGGCATCAGGGCGGTTTAATCATTTTCTCTTTCATATTTCAAGGAAATAATAACCAGAAGGCCTCAGAAAATGTGACTTACAGAGGTTTTAGAGAAAAAAGACTTCAAGTTAAAGAGGTTTTTAACGTCAACTATTTGTTTGATGCCAACTATTGTTTGCAGTTCTATTTTTGAACTGTTTCTTTTGCGATAATTCACGTGAGTCCTATCATACTACATTTATGATTTTTTGGTGTCAACATTTGTGGAAACTGAATCGCAAGAAAGAAGTTAAATTTTTTCACACACGGTATTGAATTGTGATGAGTGCATACATCTTTGAATTTCTCGTTTTTAAATTATTCGTTTTTTCGTTTTTAAAAGTTAAAAAATATTATGCTTGAAGATGCATCCTTCGTTCTGCTATACAGAGTTCCAGGGGGTTTGGCGAGTTTTCCATTTCCATCGTTTTTGAAAGTTGAAAAATATCATGTTTGGACTTTCTTCGTTTTTCTACACAATTTTAGGGGTGTTTTGACTTTTACATTTTTTCGTTTTTAAATGTTTTGTTATTTAGGTTTTAAAATTTGAAAAATATTCTGTTTGGACATCCGCAGTTCCAGGGGATTTTGGCGAGTTTTAGATTTCTTTCGTTTTTGAATTATCTGTTTTTCGTTTTTAAAACTTGGAAAATATTGTGTTCGGACATCCTTCGTTTTTCGACACAGCAATTCCAGGAATTTTTCGACGCAATTCCATTCTGCAACTAATACACTGTTTTCGCGCGCACAAAGCGTGCTTGTATATTACGAAGGGCCTCAAATGAAGAAAACTCGGTTTGGCGTTTATTGCAGAAACTGACCAAGGACGTGCAGAGGCGCAGAGTGGACTTGAGTTACCAGGTCAAGTCTATAACGGAACGAAGTTTGTCTAGTAACCACCTCAACTTGATTGCGAATGAAATGTCGAGGGGAAGTCCCACGGGATATTCAGGTTAGTGCCCTTATTCTTTTCTTTCCGTTTCCTTATTTCCTCATCCATATATATCCGCTCGAACCTTCGTTTGTTTCTGCCGTGTCAAACTCAAACATGACCTGACGCTTCCCATATGAGCGCCTATCAACAAGAAATGTATGACGACCCGAGCGACTATAATTCCTAAAAAAAAAAAAAAAGGTGTTCGAGTGTAATAATATTATTTGATGTGGTGTTGAACAAAAGAAAAATACTTCCATCGGAAACTCCGGTTCCATCTGTTTTTCTCCGGGTTCAAATGCACCTGGAAATGACGTCATGATTATATACCAGAATTTTTCTGATTCTTTAAATTGTAAAAATATGGAAATTTCGAGATATTCAATTTAGGCAAAAAATCTCAAATTTCAACCATTCCCAGGAAGAAAAAACCGCTCATAGCAAACATCCACTTTATCGAAGTTTGAAATGAAGCAGCTTTTCGTTAGCTTTTTTTTGGTTTTTTTTTCATTTTTCGTTGCACATGTTGAACCGATGTTTCTGAGAGTAATTCAGACTAAAAATAAATTTCTAAGCTGCGGAAATTATTGTAAAAAATCGTGCGCAGTAAAATCAGTTGCAAAAAGATTCCAGAGTCTTGCTTACATCCTTGATTGATTTGCATCCTTGTGGTGGGACTTTTTGAAACATACAGTACTTCAACTTATAAAATTTACAGGCTGAATCTGCCTTTTATTTCTCTACTTTTCCTTTTGATCCACAGCCTATTTATTCATGCTTGCATAGCCAAAACTTTGATCAGCAACAGATAACAAACATGTTTTATTTTTCAGGGCTATAAATGAATATAAAAGCTGCTAGGAACTGTATTGGTACATATAAAGTCAAACCCCAATAAGATGCCACCATTTGTCCAGAAAGTTTAAAGGGCTTGGAGGTTTATTAAATATTTCAGTTCAAATCATTAGTTGAAGAATACTCAATTTTCCTCCAAAAGTCAGATGAGATACAGGTTTTCTAGAAACTTCAGTAATTTTCCAAGGAGTATTGTTGTGATCAATGGATTACTCTTCAAGAAAATTAGTTTTGCTGCATCAATTTATTGAAATTTCAAGATGAGGTCAATATATTGTTCACATTAAAAAAAATGATCATTTTTTTTAAATTCTTAAATACTGTATTTATACTTGAGTACCACACGCACCTTTTTTCTCAAATTGCAGAATAAAAAAGGGGTGCGCCTCATAAGAGGGTACAACATTTTCAAGAAGTTTTAGGAAGTTGCTGTGTGTTAATTATACTTGACTATAATGGAGAAAATTGTGACAAATGTACCAAGAAAACTTTTTTACTGAAAATTTTGAAAATTGATCAGATTCATGTTCAATTCACATCAGAAGTCAAATTTTTGCTTTTATTTTCAAAATTTTGTGGTTTTAGAGTCCCTAAAAATGGGGTGCGCTTCTTACTCAGGGATACAATTTTAGCCAAATTTTGAACTGAAAACCCCCAGTTTGCGCCTTACTTGAGGGCGCGGGGTACTTGAGTAAATATGGTACAAGATCCTTGAAAGAAATTTTGATTCTATACCCACTGTTGGCAGTGTAACAAAGACAAAACTAATAAGCAACAACACTTCTGTTTCATCACTAATTCTGGTGGAAGGTGGTTGGTGTCTTATCAAGGTTTTCTATAGAATTTAACATGGAGGATATTTTTTTCATTCAAAATTTTGGTGGCTGCGGTTGGTGGCGCTTCATCAGGGGGCGTCTTAATGAGGTTTGACTGTACAATATAAAATTTCCGTTTGTATCACTTTCGAGATAAAACACAAATTATCACACTAAGAAGCACTGTAAAGAAATAAAATTCTAGTAGATGAGGAATGACGAATGAGGCATTCTTTTTTCCGCCATAAATCAGAGCCATAGGCTTATTCGGTGGAAAGGTTGCGTTGATGCGGGTACAAATGCATAGGCATTATCGCGGATAATGGTCATTCAAAACCTGCGGGGACTTTTGGCACTAACTGCTAATACATTAGCCCAACAAAAAGCAGAGACAAACGATGTCCTCGCAATGAACTGTCTTCCTTGATGGATGAGCCAGTGACCTTGTTATATCCCACCATTTTTGCGCGCATTTCGCTTCTGCGCCGTGTGTCTGTGTGTGCTTATGTGAGATCCCCCCATGACCATTTATTTCCCTTCATTACGCGTTTATATACAGGATATGCTCTTTTTCCGTTCCCTTCCCTCTGCTTCCATCAGCACCTATGTGTGCACTGTATGTACATACATGGTTTGCAGCTAGGGACACATAGGTTGACGAAGAAAAACTGTGCTTGCGCATAATTCATTCCTCAGCGGCTGCGTTATGAACCTATAATACGCTATCAAGTGCTGCTTACATGGGGCTGTTCGGGAAATTATGGCTGTTGCGTACACGTATTTCTGATCTTCAAAAACTTATTAATCTCAAAATTCGTGATTTACTTGAGTATCACCCCTTGTTGGGAATAAATCCCGACAAAGTAAAGATTAGAATTTAGGATTGAAAGTTAGTAAAGTGAAGTTTAAATAAAACACAAGAATTCGGTCGGGCTACGACCGGGGTGCAAAACACCTTCCGGGAGTTGTTCAAGGTATGTGAGCGTGATGAAGGAGAAGTTTAGGAAGTTCTAAAATAATAATCTATTTATAAATCCTCAGAGGATGATGAAGATATTCCGATGGAGCCTTTCCCCAAGGAGCACGCTGAGATTGTAATTCCGGGGTACTTGAAAGAGCAAGCTGAAGTTTTCCAAGATTTCGGTCCAAATGAGTGGGAGAGTTTAATGGATCTTGCGAGTGTGGTTAAAACGAAGTCAATTTCTTTAATCGCAAAACGGGGTTTGGACTCGGAAGTGGACGAGACTGAAAAGGAACTAGCAAGGGAAAAGGTTAAATTGGAGAAACTAAAGGCGGCAGTAAAAGAACTTGAGGACGAAAGAAGTAATTTGGAGGAAAGGAAAAAGATAGCAGCTTTGCAGAGGGAAATGGCTGTTCTCGCTGCTAAGGAAGCTGATTTAAGTGCACTCGAATTTCTGGGGTGTATTAAAAGAAAGGCTGCCGGTGATCTGTCCTCTGTACTTCTGAGACTGCAAGGTTTGAAAGATCTGTGGTTCGAAGAAGGGGCAGGTTGCAAGGTTTACTCTGAGGGTAAGTTGAGGAGATCTTAGTAAATAGGTTGATTGGAGTAAACTGAAAGTTTTTTAATCTTTGACAGAGAACGTGTGGATTCTTCAACTCGGGGAAAGTTCGGAAAAGATCACGATTCGGGTTGGAAAGCTAGAGCATCTGATGACTCGTTTTGTCAAGGAAAACAAGGTGCCCGGGGTTCGTCAACCATCATCGTCTACTCCTCAAACAAAGGTGTCAAGTGTAATATCTCCTGGACCTCTGAGGTCAATTTTGAAAACGATTGAGAATTCCGCTGGGGCCAGTACCTCGGGGGTAAAAAGAGCGTCGACTTCAAGTTTAATGTCGGGTGTTGGAGCCACTGTTAAACGGCGTAAACTTCGAGAAAATCCAAAGTTTCTTGTCGGCGGATTGACTGATGGTGAGAAATGAAATAATTGTTAGATCTAGAATAACTTTGTAAATACTCAATTTTTCTTTCTTTTGACTTTCTTTTCCTGTAGCTAATCTTGAGAAGTTTATGGAGGGGAAGCAATTTATCCCTGAGAAGCCCGTAGAATATCGTCGAAATGTAGCGCAGAGGTTGGGTCTAACGTCAGAACATTTAGAAAGACTCGAACCAATTCAACTGCCTGTTCCGGGTTGTATTGTGCAAGATTGGCAGCATAATACACCAGAATTCTCGAAGATAATTGAGGAGAGGACATCGGATCCCTTAAAACCTCAAGTTTTAGTTATCGGGACCTCTTTGACGTCGTACATACGACTTGGAGATGTAGTTTATGGAGGGGAAGCAATTTATCCCTGAGAAGCCCGTAGAATATCGTCGAAATGTAGCGCAGAGGTTGGGTCTAACGTCAGAACATTTAGAAAGACTCGAACCAATTCAACTGCCTGTTCCGGGTTGTATTGTGCAAGATTGGCAGCATAATACGCCCGAATTCTCGAAAATAATTGAGGAGAGGACATCGGATCCCTTAAAACCTCAGGTTTTAGTTATCGGGACCTCTTTGACGTCGTACATACGACTTGGAGATGGTAAAGATACGTTTAGCATAATACGCCAGAATTCTCGAAAATAATTGAGGAGAGGACATCGGATCCCTTAAAACCTCAAGTTTTAGTTATCGGGACCTCTTTGACGTCGTACATACGACTTGGAGATGGTAAAGATACGTTTGCTGGTCACGTTAGAGACGACAAGTGCACTCAAAAGCCAGTTTTCGACTTCTCGCACTTATTTGCGGATTTGCCGATCTCCCTTTATCAGGTTTGTTTCTAAAAAAGGGGGGTATTAAAGAAAAGGGATGGGATTTTAATCTCGTTTCCTTTTGTTTCTTTTCAGTACTCTATCAGTGGACTATCCTTCAAATACGGGCAAGCGTACACTCCGGAAAATCTTCGAGAGATGGTGTATTCTGATTTGAAACTTAAAAATAACTTTCAATTTAATCAGGTTTATATTAGAATTGGAACTAATGATATAAAGGAAGTCGTTCGACGACAAACAAATTTAGACTTTTCTGATATGAATGGCTTTATTGAGAGGCTTTTTGAGTTTTTGGGAAGGTTAGCGAGAGCCTTTAGATGTAAAGTTTTTTACGTTGGGGCGTCTCCTCCGCCATTGTCTACTGGGGAAAGAAAATATCTTCCAAAGAATCTGTTGTATGCGCAGGATGGGTTTCCTGCTTTTCCGTTACAGTATGAGGATGGAAACAGGCATGTTGAAATGGAGACTAGGTTAAGCGTAGCTCATGGCATGCAATATGAATTAATGACCAGACTTTTAAGAGCTGCTGGAAGACTAATGAACGATGGAAAGGGTGGTCCTGGTTTTATTGTTATGGTAACTCCGCTTGAGAGACTGAGAAAGTATGTTAAGAGGAAGTCTCTAGAAGAAGCCTTTGGGCATATGCAAATTAGAGCCTATCTGGCATTTGCAGCGGACCATGCCATAGTAATACAGTTTGGTTTATCTTTGGATTATCCTGGAAAAATTTTTTCATGATACAAGAAACTGGATTTTTGAAGTCACTGTTTACACCAAAACCTTGTGCACCGGTGAGATTAAAATCTTATTGGGTGCAGGTTTCCCAGATTCATATCACTGCAGAGAAAGTTAGGTTTGCAAAAGTGAGAATATGTCAAGATCTGTCAGTTGGATCAATTTTCATATGATGATAGAAAATATAGCCCCCTTTGGCAACCATTTCAGTCAAACTGAAATGGTCCTCCCCCTGAAAAAAATCCCAACTTTGCCACAGGACAGCCAGGAACCCTCCACTGTCCAAGGGTAAAAAAATTTATATTTGTTTTCTGGGAGACGCATTAAATATACACTTTGCCAATTTGACTTTTACCTCGTTTCGGGTTATGGAAGCGCTGATTTCCTTCGCAAGTCTGTCTTGAATTTCAGGTTCGAGTGCCAAATAATGGCAAGCCATGGCAAGCACTGATGCCGTGGTCTCAAAACCAGCCAAGAAGAAAATAATGCTTTGGGCAACAACCACTTCTTCCGTCATAACGGGCTCTTTTGTCGGATCATTTCTCAACGCAGCTGCTTCATTGTCCATCTCCTCGATCATGACGTCCAAAATAAAAAGATAGCAGCTTTGCAGAGGGAAATGGCTGTTCTCGCTGCTAAGGAAGCTGATTTAAGTGCACTCGAATTTCTTGGGTGTATTAAAAGAAAGGCTGCTGGTGATCTGTCCTCTGTACTTCTGAGACTGCAAGGTTTGAAAGATCTGTGGTTTGAAGAAGGGGCAGGTTGCAAGGTTTACTTTTACACTGAGGGTAAGTTGAGGAGATCTTAGTAAATAGGTTGGATGGAGGAAACTGAAAGTTTTGACCTTTAACAGAGAACGTGTGGATTCTTCAACTCGGGGAAAGCTCGGAAAGGATCACGATTTGGGTCGGGAAGCCGGAGCATTTGATGACTCGTTTCGTCAAGGAGAACAAGGTGCCTGGGGTTCATCAACCATCATCGTCTGCTCCTCAAAAGGTGTCAAGCGTAATATCTCCTGGACCTCTGAGGTCAATTTTGAAAACAATTGAGAATTCCGCTGGGGCCAGTACCTCGGGGGTCAAAAGAGCATTGACTTCAATTTTAATGTCGGGTGTTGGAGCTGTTGTTAAACGTCGTAAACTTCAAGAAAATCCAAAGTTTCTTGTCGGCGGATTGACTGATGGTGATGAGAAATGAAATAATGATAAATCTAGAATTATTTTGTAAATACTCAATTTTTCTTCCTTTTGATTTTCTTTTCCTGTAGCTAATCTTGAGAAGTTTATGGAGGGGAAACAATTTATCCCTGAGAAGCCCGTAGAATATTGTCGAAATGTTGCGCAGAGGTTGGGTCTAACGTCAGAACATTTAGAAAGACTCGAACCAATTCTACTGCCTGTTCCAGGTTGTATTGTGCAAGATTGGCAGCATAATACGCCAGAATTCTTGAAAATAATTGAGGAGAGGACATCGGATCCCTTAAAACCTCAAGTTCTAGTTATCGGGACCTCTTTGACGTCGTACATACGAGAACCTCTACCATTTCTATGCAAACGACCAGTGCAATCTCTGCTGTTCACGTGAGTTTTCGGTCAAAAGCACTTCTCGCACTTATTTGCGGATTTGCCGATCTCCCTTTATCAGGTTTGTTTCTAAAGGAGATATTAAAAAAGGGATGGGATTTTAATTTCGTTTCCTTTTGTTTCTTTTCAGTACTCTATCAGTGGACTATCCTTCAAATACGGGCAGGCGTACACTCCGGAAAATCTTCGAGAGATGGTGTATTCTGATTTAAAACTTAAAAATAACTTTCAATTTAATCAGGTTTATATTAGAATTGGAACTAATGATATAAAGGAAGTCGTTCGACGACAAACAAATTTGGACTTTTCTGATATGAATGGTTTTATTGAGAAGCTTTTTGAGTTTTTGGGAAGGTTAGCGAGAGCTTTTAGATGTAAAGTTTTTTACGTTGGGGCGTCTCCTCCGCCATTGTCTACTGGGGAAAGAAAATATCTTCCAAAGAATCTGTTGTATGCGCAGGATGGGTTTCCTGCTTTTCCGTTACAGTATGAGGTCAAGAGTAATTAGAGGTCCAACGAAGTCAATGCCAACTGCTTTAAATGGGATGGAACCATGGTATCTGTATTCTGGCAAAGGAGCTGGTGGAACTGAGAACGGCTTTGAGTCAAATCTTTTGCACCAGTTGCATGAAATTTTTACCTCTCTTGCGATTTTTCTTCCTCTGGGAATCCAAAAGGTTTTGTGGAGTGCACTTAGAGTTACGGCTGAGGAAGAGTGGCCTAGTTTTTCGTGATAATATCTAAATAAGGTAGTTAGTACGTCTATATTTTGTTTTCCTTTGGGAATTGGAATATAAATGAGGGTTTTCCTGACTGCATTTGTTCTTTTGACTTTAGAATTTGTCTTTTCTCCTTGTCTGCTTGTGGATTCGATCAGATTAAACTCAGAGTTCCATTGAAGATCAGGTTTTAGTTTTACAGGAATGTTATTTTTTAAACTTTCCACTTCCTCATGGGCGTAGAGATTTTGAATAAGTTGAAAAATTTCGATTTGAGCTTCCTTTTTCATCTGAATAGAGGTTCTTTCTTTCAACAAGTTTTGAATTTTAGTATCACCATTCAAAGCCCTTTTGGCTCCCCTCGTTCTTCTTTTAGATCTTTCTTTGAAATAGAGTGTTATTTTCTTCCAACCCACCATTCGATTTACTAAAGTTTCCCATGAGGATGATCCGGCTAGAACTTTGATCAAGATTTTCCTTGTGTCTTCCCATGAACTTTGTGGCTTACAAGAAATTCTGCAGGAAAGAAGAGATATTCGTTGTAATGGCCAATCTGATTTAGTTGGTAGCCAAGAAGGACCATTCCACCACAATTTTGAGTTTATTAGTGTTTCGGCATTGCACCCTCTAGAGGCCAAATCAGCTGGGTTGTCCTTTCCAGGTACATGTCTCCATTGAGAAATGTTTGAAAACTCTAAAAGCATGGAGATTCTATCTCTAATGTAGAGAATGGTGCCAGGTTTTAGTTCTCTGAGCCAGTTTAGTAGTACTTCTGAATCTGTCCAGAAGAATACATTAAATTTAAGTCCTGTTAGTGACTTAATAACTTCTTGTAGAAGGGCAACGGCTAGACAGGCTGCTGTTAATTCTAAACGATTTATTTTTACTTTGGGGTCTAATTGATTACCCTTTTTCTTCTTTGGATTGTCCTTTTTGGACTTCAGAGGAACTAATTTAGACTTTCCAAGTAGAATGGAAGTTTTTGTTTCTGTTTTACTTCTGGACAAGTAGTAAATTGCTGCACCAAGTGCTGAGCCGCTGGCATCTGAAAAAACATGAATTTCTCCTTCTATTTCGTTAGGAACTTTTACTAGTCGTGGTATGATGAATTTGGATAGCATTTCGGTTTCTAAAGCTAGAGATCTCCAAATTTTACAGTCCTCTTCGGATAGTTCAATGTCCCAAGTATTTCTCCTTCTATTTCGTTAGGAACTTTTACTAGTCGTGGTATGATGAATTTGGATAGCATTTCGGTTTCTAAAGCTAGAGATCTCCAAATTTTACAGTCCTCTTCGGATAGTTCAAGGTCCCAAGGAGCTTTGGGGTTTAAGCGATTGAATTCCTGAAATGTAAGCTTTAATTTAGCGGTAAATGGAGCCATGAGTCCTGGAGGATCATATAATCTGGCAATGATACCTGCGGCAACTCGTTTTGATAATTGTCTTAGTTGGGCAAGGATGTATATGTTTTCAGCGCAAGTGGATATTGAGTCTGAGTCGGT